TCGGGGCTGTCATAGGCTGCGTGGAGTGCGGTCCATCCCGTCGTGGTCTTTCGGGCTTCGAGGTTTGGCGAGCCCTTGAGCAGTTCATTGACCGATTTGGCGTCAGCTCTGTACGCCGCTCGCCACAGTGGTGTTACTCCGCTCTCATCCTCCGCATCGATATCAGCACCGAGTTCCAGGAGAGTCTTCAGAGCTTCTATTTGGCTGCGCCTGACCGCCCGATGTAGTGGCCTCTCCCCATCGCTATCCTTAGCATTGAGGTCTGCCCCGCGCAGTTGAAGAAGTTTGATCATGGAAACCTTGTCGTTGTAGGCGGCAAAATGCAGAGCGGTGCCTTCCAAACCACTTCCAGCATTGACGTCCCAGCCGTTGTCCAACAGCAAGCGAACAAAGTCTTCGCGGTTGTCTTCAGCAGCTATAGTCAAGGCATTCCTCTCCCCTTGAATTTCTAGAGGTTTGAGTGATGGCGGTGACCACGAAAGGAGCGCCTCTGCTACCTCTATATGGCCTCCCTGTACAGCCAATGCAAATGCAGTTTGGCCTCCATAGTCTTGAATCAGTCTGCTATCCCCCTTTTGTGTTGGATCATTGTGACCACGTTCTTGGCGCAGGAGTTCGTTAACGAGGTACAAGTGACCACAATAGGCAGCGATATGAAGAGCTGTCCGACCGATATCAGTTACGCCGTCCAGCTTGACGTCGTGCTTGAGAAGGATCTGGAGCGTTAAAAGCCTACCAGACCTTGCCGCTAAATGCAATGGGGTCCAAGCGGACTCGTTCACTGCGTTGACATCAAAAACGCCCGATGAACCCGGTTTTGAATCTAATAACTGCGCCACAATTTCCGGATGTTGCCGCTGAGTAGCCAAATGAAGCGCCGTGTTCCCGTTGGTATCTTTGACTACAGTTGTGATCCCAGACGTCAGAAGCGTCTCGACAAGGTGTGTGAAATCACCTGTAGCCGCTAGTAGCAGAGCAGTCGCGCGACTTTTCTCTGAATTGTACCGCGCATACTTGAGTAACTCCCTAACAACCTCGAGGTGCCCATGCGAAGCTGCCAGCTGTAGTGGGGACAATACATCGGCAGTGGTGTCAATGATAACTGGTGCAGTAGCGTCGTCTTCTTGGCTTCCAGTAGCTTCTGCCTCTTCGTTCACGAAGTCCTTCGATCCCAGAATCAGCTTCTGCAAGATTCCGAGATGTCCTTCCCTCGATGCCAGGTGGATCGGCGATAGCCCCTCCTTGGTCTCAATATGAATGTTTGCCTCGGATTCGAACAGAACATCGCAAGTTGAATCGTGCCCATACTGAATTGCAAGATGTAGTGCGGTACATCCATCTTCCCTTTGGCCATTTATGTCCGCTCCGTGCTTCAGCAGAAGCGTCACGATGTCGTCGAACCCTCCTGCAGCCGCTACTTTTAGGGCGTCATTGCCAGAGTCGGTCAACGCTTTCACGTCGATTCCAGCATTGATCAATGAGCGGACGAGGTCTGTTTGCCCAGTTATAGAAGCCAAGTGGAGTGCTGTGAGCTTCTTTCCCACAACAACATTGCTCTTTGCGCCGTTTGCCAAAAGATAAGCTGTCATCTTCTCGTACCCGTTCGAAGTCGCGAGCACAAACGGAGGTCTACCGTACTTGTCCTCTCCATTGATCATGTCTGGCTTAGCTTTGACAAGTGTCTCAAGGATGTTCATAAAGCCGCCGTCGGCGGCCAGACACATGGCTTCTTTGGACTGGGCCCCTTCTTCTAAGAGCAAAGCAACAACGTCCTCGTGGCCGTGGCCAGCGGCTAGATCAAGCGCTTCTCTAAAAGCACCTTCGAAGCCCTCCGCAGACTTTGCTTGCTGAATCGTATCTTTAGCTATATCGAGTAGGCCGAACCTGCTGGCGATTTTCAAAGAACTGTCAAGGGCTGAGAATTTCGGAGTCGGTACGTCTGTTCTCGTGTCTTTTTTACTTGGGAGGTCGCTATATTTCTGGTAGAGCGCGCACCAAGCTTTGACGTTCTCTTCCTTGCTGAAAAGCTCGAGTACTCGAGCCTTGATTTGAGACCTATCTCCGGCTCTCGTGTAGTGCTGCGGCCAATTTGTCACTGCGTAGCCAATGAGCTTGAACTCGGCGCCGCCCATCGAGTCGAGATTTGGACTGGTGCCCGATTCCTCAGTAGCCGTAGCAATATGCCCCAGAATTGTCTCTAGATAATCTAGGCACTTGGATAGTATGATGCTATCCGGATCATGGCCCACGAGACGCCATTTATTGGCTAGAACAGGGCCGATTGTTTTGTGAATGAAGTGTACTTGCAAACCGGTCACCTTGATGAGAGTGCCGTTGACTGCCTGAAGGTCATGTGCAATGGACAAGGGTAAGTTGAGTTTCAAATGGTCCATGGACAGAACTCCTGGAGATGATAGAGCCACGATAACGGCTATCTCGTTCAAACTGAGGGGTCGAACGGAATGCAGAATCCATTGGAGTAAAGATAGCAGCGGTATTGGGCATTCGCTTTGGCATCGTTCCAGCGCCATCACATATATCTCATCCAGCGAAGACGGTAGTTTTTTTATGGCATTAATGACAGCGCTCTTTGTTGAAGGAATCCTTGCCGTTTCTAGGAGCCTCATGGCTAGAGCTGTCTGAAGGAATGTGGTTGGCGGATTGCATAGCTTGTTGACAATATCGTCTTTACAAAGTCCCCACTGCTTATGGTTGTCAACAAGATTTTCAATCCGAGACCGAACATACGCCCCAACAGATGCGATGCGCCAGGCCTCGTCGGAAAGATCGATATCACGACAGATCTTGGTAGCGTGGTGGAAAGCTCCATGTCGAGGCCCCTCGCCAATCACCATGACTTTGAATACACCGGTAGACAACTGTCGGTACTCCTCGAGCAGAGCAACCATATGATCGAGGGAGAAGGTGCCGCAATCTTGCGCCCCGTAAATGACGCAGAAGACTGGACTAGGACAGGACCCTTTAAGGAGAGAAAGGAAAAGGTTTCGCAATATCTCGAAACTGAAAATTTCCTCTTCCTCAATGGTGTCACTGATGGCAGAAACCCGGCGGAACAGTGAGGGCCGACTTAAAAGCAGTTGGCGGATCAACGAGACATAAAATGTTGTGCTAGGCTGAGTTCTCAAGTCTTGCTTACTGAAAGAAAAGCTGATGACGGTCGAGTCTGGAGTCTCCTCCCGGAGAGTTGTGATAAGGTGAGATGCGATGACAGCGCCGCCAGATCCTCGGGTTCCGTGGAAATAAAGGATGTTTGGCGCCTTTGAATCCAGATTCTGCCACTCGCAGTATGAGGGGTGTTGTATGATCCAATTCAATGAATCGGGAAACGGCCTTGCTAGCTGTAGTTGATAGTTGTTCGAGTCGACGATCGAAAGAGTTTGGATAAAGTTGTGGAACTCTTCAGATATTGCTAGAAAGCCGCCAAAATCAGCTTAAGTCTAAATAAAGGGATCTATCTTGACTGACGTTGCAGCTCTCGATTGACAGCCTGGCCAATCAGGTCGAAAATCTTTTCCGTTGTTGTATCTCCTGGGAGGAAGTTCCATAGTCCTGCCTCATCACTAGTGGAACCGAGAGTTGATCGGGCACGAGACGTGAATGTTGGCTTTGTGTCCTAATGCCGTTAGAAATGCTGATAAGCCATCTGATAATCTGTGCTCGCTAGAAGAGCAGGGATGAAGGCTGGGATTAGGCGGGAGCTCACAGCATCTACACTATCTACACTATCTGCTTTTCCTTTGCTCCTTACGTCCAATATGGCATGTTGCCTCTGTATACCGGCAAATGCCCAATAGAGTTCCTCTAGTGTATTTGGCAGCTCATTGAGTAACTTGGTGGGGGTGCGGGAGCCAAGGTCTGAGCCGGACAAGAGGTGGAAAAGTCCATGCTCCCACAAGGACAGATTCTTTTCTGCGTTGGGTGTGTCACAGAATATCTAAATTTGAACACGTTAGCCGCGCCATGGGTAGGCTCAGCTAATAGATATGATATGGGTTGCTCTTACTAGGATAGCGGCGTCGCTGGCAAGGCGACCATACCTGTCATCCTGTGAGGCAAGTACAAGTGCCTAATGGATCGTTAACTCTCGCTATCCAGAGTACCTCCTCTCAAGCCCTATCTATATACCTGTTGGACGAGTGAGCCCCCTAAGTCATGGCAGAGAAAGACGCAAGGCAAGTACTCGTCAGGGTCAGTCGAACTAGCCTGCATTATTGAGACCGTCAGTTCACCTTGCTGTGAGCCCGGGTTAACAAACTCACATCGCGCCTTCTGTCAGCCTGGACAGCCTCCAAGAGAGACAGCGCTCTCTCCAAGAACCCGAACCCGGCATTTCCCCAGCTCGTGTCCTCAGCGATAAATGCAAAGTCTGTCACAAAGGCCCTAGGGAACCGAGCGGACCAGAACTTGCTGGCCTCCCGCTGGGAAGAAGAGCTATCTCTGATGCCATGGGCAAGCACGAGGCTGGGACTTGATGTTAGGATACGCGACAGAGATCAGGACAGTGGTAGGCATTGCAAGCTAGAGGAGGCACTCACTGGAAGCGTTTCTCGTCATAGGGCTCCATGGCCGCCGAGCACAATCACGAATGGCGGGGTCGGACTAAGATAGTTGTGTTTTGTTTGGATTCATTTTGGTTTCTGCTGGCTGGAAAGGTAGACCAGGCTCAGCGGCACGTCAGGTTCAGCTCATGCAACAAATATGGGTAGGTGATAGGAGTACACCATACTGAGGATAAACCAGGCCAACGGTGGCTGTTGTTGAGTGGTGGGAGTGGGGAGGACAGTCAGCACGGCTTGCTAGTGCGGCGCAGGACTGGGCATCGCCGACGCCGGTGCCAACTGATGGCCTTGGACACTTTAATGCCGCTTTTAGCGACCGGAACAGCCTTGAACATACATATCAGATTGCTACTTGGCGCTATGATCGAGTCACTCTAGATGATACGGTATGTACTGTAGCAGAATCACAGAACTACAAGTCGGATCACGTCAAAGATAGGTGCAATGTGCTATTGAGACCCTTGAGACCCGTCTTACAGTACACCCCGAAGGCAGAGATGCAGGCGGAAGGCTGTTCTTCATGCTATGTACCACAGAGTCCTTCCTTATGGGATGGGTCTCAGCTTCTAGGCCACATCGTCTTGCGCCTCGGAAGAATATCCACAAGACTCTATCTAGTCTGGAGTGGCATAGTATATTCAGCTGGGAGAACAGTTACTCGGAGGCGTCCACCCTCCGGAAGCTAGGATTTGACGTAAAAGCATGAAACCATTCAAAGAACAGGTTAAATAGAAGCCTGAGAGTTCAAGCAGGAACCTTGAGCAGGGTCGCCAGCACCACATCGGCGTGCTTCCCAATGTCCATATCCCGCATGTTGGTCAAATCCACATCCACCACACTCGGATCGAGGCTGGAGATACCCAGATCCTCCAGATCCGTCTCGCCATCCAGTTCGACGGGATCAACCGGGTCCGGTTTTTCAAGACCAAGCAGACGCCGCATCTTGCCCTCAAAGTCGACGCCGGTGTCGACTGAGATGGTGAAGCGGAAGGGAACATCGTCCTTGCGGCGCAGAAGCACCGCCGCACGCAAGAAACTCGGGATTCCCTGCTTCTTGACCTTGTCCTCCTCCAAGGTCCAAATGACGCCGTTGTCCTTGCCAAAATCGGCAAAGAGGCGCTTCATCCCGACTAGAGTCGTTGCGTGCTGCGTTTCCTCGACCTTGGACGTGTCCCAGACGTACCCGAGGTCGCCGCCGGCGCCAGCCGCGTTGCCTTTGATGCTGGCATTGAACGTCTGGTGAACGTCGCGGGTCGAGGTGGACTTGTTGATCGCAAAGCTTCCTGCCGGCGCAATGGCCGAGACCTCTGGGCGGTTCTTGACGTTGCCGCTGGCGTCCTCGAAGGTCAGGATGATCATGCCGCTGGTGAATCTCCGCGCGCTCTTCACGCTGAGAAAGTTGAACTCGAAAATCAGAAGCGTCGCCGCGTCGCCGTTGGGGGTGAAATCGCCATGTGTCACACTGACTAGGGCGGCGCGGAGGGTCAGAGCGTCCCCGCGATCAATGAGCACGGCCCGAGCCTTGTCGCCAGGCACGTTTTTAGTGCGGAAGCCCGAGTTGGGGTCTCCTTCTTCGAGGAGGAGGATTTCGACCGGCTCCATGTTTGGTTCGGAGGGCTCTGCGGGTTCTGTGGTGTGCCAAGGTGGCAGGTGGGTGGATGAGAAAATACGGACGAAGTTTCGCTATCGCGCTGATGATCAGGCTCGGCAAAAATACCTAAATTTCCGGTATCGATACGTATCGATGCCAGAATCGTAAGGTATCAATAGTATTAATAGTAGTATCGATTCCCTGAACCTAATTTTCCCCTTTAATTACAATTAACTTTCGAACTACTTCTCTTATAAGAAAACTTTTGGTAGCGCAAATATTCTCCTTAATTTAGGCTTTCCATCTAGCTACTTATCTTATACTTTAGGCTAAAACTAATCTCAATGCGGCTATTTTAAGTAAAAATGAGCTTTTGAGATTTTCGTAAGGCTCGCTTATATATTTAGTACCTTGATAAGAAATACGAATACGGGGCTTAATTCTCTAAATATGAGAGGTATTTTAAATTTAAGATATTATTAAATTTTATTAATAATAGTAAATAAATTTTTTAATAAAAAGACTAGAAATGAAAGGAATTATATATAAATGTATTCTTATATAAATAAAATAATAAAATAAAGAGATAATTTTTAGGGGTAAGAATTAATAAGGTATTAATATGTATCGATTCTTACGATACCTGAAAAATACCCAATACTATTAATACCGGTATCGATGCCTCAGGTATTTTTGCCGAGCCTGTGATGATATACGAAGTTGGGTGCTACTCGGTATGCCAAATGGGGTCCATCCATCCATGCATCACTGAGACGCCTTGCCTCGGCCGAGTTCTATTTCCAGGAAGTTGCAGGAGCTGCCCCCAATAATCTTCCGCGATGGCCAATGAGCCGGAGGATGGGGCGAGAAAGGGGCGTCCCCCGAGCTGTAGCTGCATAGCTGTAGCTGCAAGGCTTTACAGAGTTGTGTGACCCCTCCCGCAGATCTTCCGCTCACAGGGCGAGGGCAAGGGAGAGAGAGGGGGCTATGGAGCAAGAGGCTGGGTGCGTCTCCAGCCGCAGAAAGGCCTATCCTTATCGCCGTCGCCGGCTCTCCATCCATCGCCAGGGCTGAAGTAATACTATGGTCTATCCAAATCGCCTGGACTGTCATTCATGTGCCCCTTCCGATCTCTTTTTGCTCTTGCCTAGGCATACCTTGTAACTTGTCGGCTCAGGTAGGCTAAGGTGACTTTACTAACGATTTCAACGGAGGGTGGGTGAGATCGACTGTGTCATCCCACTTAGCTTGGTTAACTGCCTTCGGCTTTCTTTCGGCTGGAACACTGGTGCCGCCTGGCAGTCGTCAAAATGGCACCTGTGAAAGTCGAGGAGAGGGACAAGGAAGCGAAGGAAGCGAAGGAGGAGAATGAGGCAAAGGAGGGGAAAGAAGAGACGGAGGAAAGAGTGATTAGGCAGAGACGTGGGAGCGACAAGAGAACGCAAAAGAAGCCAAAGAAAACAGGTGCCAAAGAGATCCTGAGCGCAGCCTTGCAGACGGAATTCACAAACCCCGCCGCGGCCCAAGAGTTCGAGAGCCGGTATAAGGAGAAAATGAGGAAAAAACCTGGCAACCAAATATTCCATGTCTTGGCGAAGAGTAGCAGCTTGCCCGAGAATATGCAGTGGCCGGACAGGAAGGTCAAGGAGTTCCTCGACTGGGCACTGGAGAGACATCATGCCCTCCTGGAGGTCAAGAATGATGATCAATACACACCGCTTCACTTGGCTCTCATGGACCGCAACACTACCTTCGTCGACGCAGTGTTGCTGAATTCTAAGCTGATCAATCTTGCTGCCGTCCTGCTTGAGACGTGTCAATATGGGAATTCACTGCATGTAGCCATTAAGTACAGGCTACCTTCGATAAAACTCATGGTCGAAAAAAGCGCCCAAATCAATAAAATGTTCGAAAAGGGACAGCCCGAGACCGGCAACACACCTCTCCATGCCTGCATGTCCATGGATATGGATGAACACGATGACGACAGCGACGTCGAAAGCGAGTTTGATGATGACGACGACGAAGATAGCCAGAGTCACAGTCTCCCTGACCCAGACCACGAGTCGGAAACTCCCATTGCAGACGAGCACCACCACCACCACCAAGAACTAAAGAACTTGGGCTGGGTTCCGATTGAGAATGGCCTAGGGAAGCGCAAGCCAACCCATGTGGAGTTAAAGCATCCAACTACCACAGGGCGCCGAGAAAGCCATGCGCTTCCGCTGCAACGTGCGCAATCTTTCATGGTACCTACAATTACTGAGTCTACCTCCCGATCTATTCAGCTCGTCCAGCTTCTCATCCAAAAGCACCACGCTATCCTGTGGCAACACAATACGGCGAAGCGGACACCCTACCAGGAAAGAATTCACCGACTGCGGACGTCGAAAGCCATTGAGAATGAGTTGGCAAAGGCTGAGAAGACTGGCCTCGAAGACAAAGCCGCGGCTCGAGAGGAGCTTTTACAGAGAATCGTGGCTAAGGACCCCATTGCTTCATACATTCGATCCTACTGCGTGAAGGAGTTCCCCCGGGACCGGATTATGGCATGTCTCTATCAACCTGGCCAAGGTACGTTTCAGCTCATAACATCAGGGTCGACTTCTCACTAAACATTCAACTAGAACGGCATATTGAATTTGACTTGGGAGGATTGCCGCATCCTACCATCTCAGAAGACTATCTTGATCGATTATCGAAGCATCTCCAATTTGAGAGTATCATGAAATATGTTGCATTACCAAAAATAACCATGGAGTCTCCTGCAATGGTTCGGAAGAAAAAAAGGGGGTAAGTAAAATCTAGGAACACGGATTGGGTCAGATATGCTTACTATCATGTTCTTCGTAGCGAGCAACCACCCCATAGACGTGGCCTTTCCGATCTTGTAGCAGTTTTCAATTGGTTGCGCAGAAACCATGTTGAAAAGATTGTCAAAATCATGGTCATCGACGATGGGGATCCGTCGCATGCAGATGCTAGTATCGAAGAAGCTCTAGAGGGCTTCGGTATCGAGATATGGGACTGGAAGAGACTGGATCTAAGTACCGAGGTGATTTGTAAATCAACGAAAGTCGTCCAAGAGATATCTCTTTACTCTTCCGGGAATAACGCTGTATTGATGGGGTGGGCAAGTCCACAGGGGTTGCCAAACAAGACAAAGTTCCCCGACGTGAGTTCATTAGTCCCGGTCCCGAATTCTGATACATATACTGAGAAATGCACTACTAGCTCAAAAAAGTAAACCTTTTTATCCGAGAGGTACGTCTCCCCATCCCTAGAACACGAGAGTCATTTGAGACATAGGTTGTCAAGCTGATGTCCTGTAGGGCCAAGAAGATCAACAGCGGTTGATGACGTATATCAACAGCTTCAAAAACACAATTAAGCGCGAGACCAATGATAGAGTTAAGGTGCATCACATCCTGGACAACAAAGATGTTAGCTACGCGTCTGAGCTCAAGAGCACTGAAGGCCACCTACAGCCGTCAGTCCCCACAATTTATTTCCGTCAACATAACCAGAAATTTGGCTAACAAATGACAGGGAAACCCCGTGGATCGACTGCGTAGTAAGCTTTGCCAGGCTCCTGCGCAGAGCACCAGGCGCCCGCAGCGTCCACCCCGTCAAGATCGCGATCATCGACGACGGCGTGGATGCGTCGCTGATCAGGCTCGACGGAAAGATTGCTATCGGAAAGTCGTTCTGCCCGTATGCCAACTCGACCGACCTTATGAGCCCGTATTATGTCCCGTCAGGTAACCACGGGACGTGCATGGCGACACTCATCAGCAAGATATGTCCTGAGGTGAGCCTGTACGTTGCTAGACTAGACGAGCGGCAGGCCGTTAGAGGCAGCCAACGGCAAATTACTGCTAAGTCTGCTGCAGATGTAAGTTTTTATATCTATTTCTTCTGCTTTCCATGCCTGCAGGGGCAACTTGACTTCCAAGTCTAAGAAACTACATAGGCAATTCGCTGGGCTACAGACTGTGGCGTCGATATCATCTCCATGAGTTGGACAATCGAGACGCCCGTGACCGGCAATGACGACATGGAGAGCCTCAAGACGGCTGTGCGGGACGCCACGGGAAATGATATCCTTATGTTCTGCTCGACGAGCGACCAGGGTAGCAGCACAAAGGACAACTGCTATCCAGGTGACTTTCCGGGCTGCATCAAGATCGGCGGAGCGACCAATACGGGCGAGGCGCTGGCCTGGGTCAACGCCGATAAAGTTGACTTCCTGCTCCCAGGTAAGAACGTACCCTTCGACAACAACGAGGGTAAGGTCATCTCGTACGAGTCTGGCAGTTCCGTCGCCACCGCTGCCGCCTCAGGTCTTGCGGGCCTACTCATGTTCTGCAGCTGGCTGCTTAAGGAGGATAACAAATCCTTCCAGGACCAGAAGAACATGGATGAGGCATTCAAGGCACTGGCTCAGCAAACCAAGTTCCCCCGCATGCAGGAGGTCTTCGAGCAGCGGTTCAAGCAGGCATTAGCGAAGCTTGAGCCGCCAAATCCGGACCAGAAGTTGAAGCAGCCGCCCCCAGAGTATGATATTTCGACTATGTCATGGGACGATAATTGCAAAGAGGCCCTCGATACTGTGATGGGGTGGATTCTACCGACTAATTAAGTCCCCTCTGGACAAGAGCTAATGAGTAATAGGAACTTCACAGTCAAATTATGGAGTTCTTACTGACTGAGATACCTGCGTCCAGCGATGGAAATGACACGTAGGTGCAGAAAGCGTGACAAAATCGTCTAGTCGCCGTTTTAGTAGCTAGGAAACTATATATCTGGCTTTAATCTCTCTTGTGCTAGCCTATCCTGTTCTATTATCTTTCTTGTGCCTGTCCATGTTCCCCCAGCTCACGTCACCAAAGCATGCTAGTTGCATGAGCAGTGCATGGAGGCTTTTTTCCAAACTTGCAATGGCATTTCTTACCTGTCAAGTCATCTTGGTCATGCACCGCCACACCCAAGTGGGTCAGGCAGTGTCAATGCATTGTCCAGGGAAGCGTTTTGTAATAACTGTATTTCATTGTCTACTATTTTATCTTCACAATGCCTTCTTTTGCACTCTCTGTCGTCTTGGCTTCTTCAGTAGATTGACTGGAGGTGGTGATTCTTCTGGTATAGAGGGCCTAAATAGGTGTCTTGTCAGTCTGTTGTCTGGCAATTCTACTCGTCCAGAACTTTCACTTGATAGTTTAGTCGGACGGGGTCTTTCTGGCTTAGGATTAGTGCTCAATAGAGATGGCTCCTCTAATATTAGAGAGAGGCCCCGTGAGCTGTATCTTGTCCAGTTAAATATAGAGTCGTGTCGTGCTTCAGTAGTGTAACTTGGCAGCTGTTCTTCTATCCCTATACTAGAGTAGTAGTAGTAATAGACCTCTATAACAAGTTGGTATGGTAAGCGTAATAGCATCTTATTAATGGTTTTTGTATATTATAGGCGTGAGCAGATACCGGGTTTAGGAGCCTATCCTAGTGCGAGCAGATAAAGCTTATAATACCTTAATAAACGATGTTTGTAATAGAGGGAACAGATGTGCTCTGAGATCTAGTAGCTAATAGAACCAGCAGGTACTATAAAATGACAGGAACTTCTATAGGATCGTCCTCCATAGTCCATTCGGAATATCACCTAGTTAGTTCCTATTAACATTTGTATGGTAATATTGTGGGAGGGAAACTGCGACAAGACAAAAACCCATATAAAGTATACCAGAGCGCAAAACGTGACTTAATAGCAAAATAACAAATCAAAAGCGTAAATAGTAAAGTATAAATAGTATATAGTATATAAAAGCTTAATTAATTAAATACTCATAAAGGATTATTCTCTAAGTCTATAGAAAAACCAGCTTTCTTATATGATTTCCGCAAGTCACGTATAAAAGGCCGCGGCCTTTACTATATAACCTAAACCTTAAAACTGCTAAAATAATACGATTTTCGACGAGTATAGCCTGCCATACTATATCCGACCCTCTATTTATTTGTACTTATCCCTTAAGTACCAAAAATAATAGAAAAATCCTACTCAGAGTCCGAAATAACGAAATATTTAGGATCTTCCTTTATTAGTTAATCTAACTTCTCCTCCGTATACCTAAAATAAGACTTATTACCCTTAAATAGTCTTATTTCATACTCCCGAACTTGCTTAAAGGTAATCCGAACCCGCTTAGCTATATTCTTATACTAAATCCGATATAGTTCTCTATATTAATTAGTATCTGCCTTTAACTATTACTTAATTTCTGCCTTTACTATAGGGTATTAAGGAGGCTTATTATAGTAAATCATATTATAAATCGTACTAATATACTCTAAACAGATAGTTTCTTTAAATTTCGTATTATCTGCTATATTCTTAAATTAATCTTTAATAAAAGAAGAAAGCTCTAGATAAGAGGCTTTAATAACCTTATAGGAGACTTCATTTTCGTATATTTTATTCTTAATAGTAACTAGATTTATAGGAACTATAGTAAAAGGCCTATTAAATAGTAAATTATTATTAAGCTATTCTTTAATTTATATATTATCCGAGAATTAATACTTTCTTATAATTTCAGACTTATAAATTACCTAGCTAAAGGTATTTATTTATCTAGTTAAATAGATTATACTTGGAATCTTTTCTTCTATTATTTTTAGTAAATACTTGCCTATTTCCTTAGCTATTTCTGGCTTAAATTTATTAGAAATAGAAAAGTAATTAATGTTTTTAAAGAACTTCTTATTAAAGATAGTAGCCTTCTTATAGTCCATAAGAAAAATATAGCTAATATTCTAATACTTTTTACTAAAATAAAATTTGCTATTTAAAGCTTTAGTAATAGCTAGATCTTTAGTATTACCTTTATATTAATTATAATTAATATTTCTAGGAGTAAAGTATTAGGCTAGCTAAGAGTAAGTAACTAGATAGATAAAATACTTACTTAATATCTCGTGAAATCCGAGCTATATTAATAGATCTGCTATTAAAAGTTAAGAGGCTAAGGTAAAATAGCTATTACTAAGATCTTTATATATTAATATATTATTTTTTTAGAGATAGAACTATAGTATTTCTATTTCTTTTATTAAGAGCTCTTAAATACTAAGCTTCTTAATTTACTTTAGATAATTCTTCTTATAAATATAGCTATTTATACCCATATTAGTAGTACTAGACTCAGGAATAGAGACTATAGTATTAAATTAGAGCTATAGATTAGGGTAGAATTAATTAGAAATATAGTACTTGTATTTATATTTCTTAATTTCTTAGTTTTTAAAAAAGAATTCTCGTATCTTCTTATTTACTCAAGTAATAGAAACATGCTTCTTGCCTTTAGTAACTTTATAGATCTTAGTAATTACCTTTAGAATATTCTTAATCTCTTATATATTAATAGAGAAAGCATTAGTAAGTTATTAAGTATATATTATATAAAAAGCTTTAAAAAATTCATTATTAATCCTATAATATTCTTACTTAAAAATAGGTCTCATAATACTATTATATATTTTCTTAAAGATATATTTATCTTACTAAGCAAGTATTAATTTCTATTTAGCTAATATCTTATAGGTATATTAAATGCCTTTATTAAGTTCTCCGGATTTAATACCTTTAGTTTTCTGCTTCTTAGTTCTGGGTATAGTTATAGAAGTCTTCTTAGATAATGTTTTTCTTTTTAAAATAAAGGATTCTTTTTTGCTTTTTGCTATTTTACTAACTTTATACTTAGTCTAGTATTTAGATTTCTACTATTTATTAGAAGTCTTAGATTTAGCTTATTCTTTATTCTTACTAGGTTCTTCTTATCTAGTTATACTAGTTTTACTAGTTTTACTAGTTCTACTAGCTTTATTAGTAGTTTTCTTACTAGGCTCTACTAAATTAGCTTCATTTTTCTTAGCTAGATCCGGTTAAATTAAAGCTAAAATTATAATAAGAGCCCATTTTTTAGACTTATTTCGGAAAGTAGGAAAAGGCTTATTACTATAAATTCCCTTAATTAGAATTCCGGAAGTATTAAAGATATATTATCTAGCTTTGAGGTTATTAGCTAATAGTAGTTTAAACTCTAATTCTCTATATTCCGAAATAGCTTTAGTATACTTAAATACCTTAGTAATATCTAATTTAGTAAATATACTAGTATTCTAATACTTCTTATTCTTAATATATTCTAAAGTAGCTTTATTAATTAACTAAATAGCTTTATATACTAAAGCTTTTGTTTTAAAAAAAGAATATAACTTCTTATAGATATTCTTATTAAGATTATTATAGATATTATTAATATATTAGCTAAAAGCTTTACTATATAATATAATTCTATTCTGACTCTTAATATTAAGACTATTTACTATAGTCTTAATCTTATTAAGCTTCTCTTATCTGCTTTTAGAAATGCCTTTAATAATATTCTCGAATTTCTTATTATTAGTTTAGTAATTCTTTAGTTCTTCCTTAGTTAATTCTAGTCTAGTTCCGTTTCTAATAAAGGTTTTCTATTTTAAGAGCTTATTATATATACTATTTAGCTTATCTAGGACATTTATATTAAATTCGGTAATTATAGCTATCTTTTCTGGTATTAATAAGCCTTTTATAATTACCTAAGCTTCTTTAATACTTTAAACTTTAATACTATTAATCTATAGGCTTTTAATAATACTATGGCTTATAAGAACTAGCTATTATACTTTACTAATTTAAGAAATCTGTTTTTTAGTCATTTTATTATTCTTAATAGGTTATAAAGGTATTATTAATATAATAGTTATAGGTTATAGAATTAAAGGTTCTCGAGATTACGAGAATTTCTTTTAAGTATATTCTAAAATAAAAAGTAAATTAAAATAGTCTTAGATTATATAAATATATTATATATATTTGAGTTTTTCTTTCTTTCTAGTAAAAAAACAAAGCTAAAATAGTAGTATATATAATAGGAAAAGTAGGTATAATAATTAGGTATATTTAAGGTAATATAGTTATAAATTAGGAATAATTATAAAAAGTAAAATATAGAATTAGGCTTCTATTATAAAAAAGAATATAAATATATATATTTAAGAAAATAATTAAGATAAGTTAGACTAAATAGTAATAATAGGGAAATAAGAAAGTAATATAATAGAAATATAGATATAATAATAGTATCTAAAATATTAGAATATAGAAGGAAATAATAAAATTTTTATAATATAGGTATATTCTAACTTCTTATTTATTTAAAGATATTTCTATTAATTTAAAAAATAGTATAAAAAAAAAGAAATAATATAGGAAATATATAAAAAATAAAATATATAAATATACTAAAGATATTAGAGAAAATATAAAATAAATATTAATAAAAAAAGAATTAGAATAATAGAATTAAGAAATAATTTAAAATAAAATATTACTTCTTTCGAAACTAATCTATATCTCTTCTAAAAGCTAATTATATTTATTTAGTACTTATTAGAATTAACTTTAAATAATATAAAACTATTTAGTTATTTGGGACTTTAAAGTAATATTTATATTAATAAAGGTAATACTAAAGGTATTAGAGTATATAGAAAAGAAAACTATAAGATAGTATAAATAGGGTTTATAGTATTATTATTAAGTTTGGAATAGTTAATATTAAAGTTAATATAGAATATAAAAAGATTAGGTATTCCGAATTAGTATTAAGGATATAGGAATTATTTAAATAATATTTAATAATAAGAAATAGATTAATAATAAGAATTAGTAAATTATACTAGCTTTTTAAAAAAGTAATTAGTTTCTGGTAATAAAATAGTATCTTAATTAGGAAATAGGTTTTATATAAAAGAAGTTCTTTTTATATAAAAATAGGAATATATAATATACTAACTAAGCCTTAGTATAAGTTTTAAGAATAGCTATAGTTATATTAAAGAGAAAGTGGGTTTTCTAATATAAGATAGGCTTTAAATAAGCAGATCTAGTTTATCTAATATCTAATAAATTCCTAGAATTATATATTATTAAGTATTTTCGGAAATAACTATTAGATTTAATAAGGTTTCTCTTTTCTTTTATAGGGCTTCTAGTTTAGCTATTTCGTTTATATATAACTCCTAATTAGGAAGTTTATTTAAGTATTATAAGGAAACTTATAATAGTAATTCAAGTTAAAGTTAAGATCTATAAATATTATAATCGAGCTTTAGACTAGTATAAGCCGCAAGAATAGCTAGTTAAAAAGGTAAGTAGAGCCTTTAAAAGGTTTCTAGTTTAATAAAATACATATAAAAGACTTTTTTCTTTTTTCTTTTCTTTTCCTAATTTTAAATATAGCTACTATTTATTATTATAGTTCAGAATTAAGAATTCGTAAAATAACTTCTTAATTCCCTATTTATTTTTATACTAAAAGAAATTCTTTATATTTAATTCCCAAGATCTAGTAATAGAATTTCATATATTAAGAATACTATCTAATAGTAATAATTAGATAATAATAA